ATGCCTCAAGTACAGGTTGACATCCAAGCTAAACACTTAGTACTAAAACACCCACTAGTAGATTCTGCATGTCCAGGGCTCCCACCAAAAATGGGCCAATGTACAGCACGTACATGTAAATGCGCAATCGTGAACACTCCCTTGCCAGCCTCTTCTGGAAAAGCGGGGGCTTGGCTGTCCTCCACAGCCTCAAAAATAGATGCACTCATTTGGGGCCAGACAAAACATGCCACCCCCAAAAGTCTCTACTGTGTGCACTTGCATTCAAAATAATGTCAAATGACCTTTTGAGCAGGTCCCAGGGCTGCAGGCCAACTCCCAATCCAATCCAATCCAATCTAATCATGTCCAATTCCCAGCTTGGTCCCCAGGCTTCAGCAGCCGGAGGTTCGGGCACCGCTGATGGTTCCTCCTGGGATGAAGCGGAGTGGATGCAAACGGCAGGGTCAGCCCCAAAGACATGCATATTTAATAAAGCTCGAAATTTAATTGTGCATGTGTCCTTCACTGCAAGTTGTCCAAGATTCCCCACCTGCAACCAGGAGAGGAGTGCACATGGTTGCACATGAAATCATTTTCATCTATGTTTGATGCAGTACTCTATGTACTAGATCCTAGTAGTACTAGTACTATGTAATTTGCTCTATTCGTTGACATCTCATGACTCGACCAATCGAAGGCCTTGCAATCCACAATGATGGGCTCATCATCGATGTTTTCAATGCAAAGTGGTTCTTGTGAATCATCATTTGGATCCTGCGGTCAATATGCGTGACATATGCACATATGCGGTGTGACACACAGTCCTCAAGGGAAATCACCACAGAATCCGATGTGCCCTTATCACAGCACAGCTTGGATCCAATTCGTCTATAGCTTATAGCTTGCAAGCGGTGAGTGCCAGACACCACCACGCAACTGAAGGTAGATCTTCTTCAGCACATTGACCAAGGGGTTCCTGCATGGAAAGTTCATGTTCACCCAAATCACCACCACCTGAAACAGATCCAACAACATCCAACAACTAAAGGGCAGTCTTTTTGGTCAGCCCTCAATAAACATGCATGCAGTGGTGGTGAACAAAAGGCTTTCCGATCCCATCTCAACCGCTCCTGGAGACTGAGCTCTTCAAAGACAGCCTGTGCAGGTGGCTGAAGCAGGCACGAACTCTGGTGGCCTCGTTGTGCGCCCAGTCCTGAGCAGCGTTTGCGGACAGCCGAAGTCAGGGTCAGGTTGATCGTGCTTCTAAACCCCTCACTTGGTTCAAAATCCAAGTCGATGTGATGGGACCACCAAGTGCAGTCTAGCATATGACCAACTAATGCAGGAGTGGGTTCCCGTGATCCAAGTCAAACATTCTCATCATTCCCAACCCTAGGGCTCCAGAATACTTCTCATGAATCTGTTTGCATGGAATGAATGTAGCTCAGAGAGGTCCTGGGGGGTACTTTTGCCTCAGAGAGGCCCTGGGGTCCCAAGGCGCATGCTGAGGCAGTTTCAGGCCCAGATCATCCCAGATCATTCCAACAATAGTGATCCTTCTCCGACACCAACTACTCATCCCAAGCTATCCTTTAATGCAATCGAATTTCCTTCATGACCATTTTGCCGCCACGTTTGCCATAGAATTCCGAATGCCAGTTCATCATGCAGGTCGCGTAGAGGAACCCTCCCTAGGACAATCATTATAATGGACATTTGAATCTCTCCCAAGACTCAAGAAGTCGAACAGCAATTGAGATCTCTATCAAAGCAGACGAGAAGCCTGAAACTCCTTCAAGTGCGGCAAGCCATGTCCCCAGCCCTGTCCAGAGCTGTGGACATGGATCAAGATCTCCTTCATCAGGCTGTAGTTCAATTGCAAGTCACTCTCAATGACCTCAGACCAATGTGCAGGGAATAGGGAACCATCCATTGATCTAAAGTTGGGTGTCAAGCATACACCATGGCCAAGGTCTAGGCCACACCAGTTCGATGGTCTTCATCAGCTGTGTGCCATGCTACAAGCCACTTGTCCTGGAATCCGGGCAACCAAAGTTCTGCAAGAGCACTAGTGAATCCAAAGAACACAATCAAACGCCCAATCATTCATGTCTCCTCCCGCGTCATGATCAAGGGCTTGGATTCTTCCACGAAGGATTTGATGCCCTCAAAGATCGCAACCCCCTTTGCCTTAGATCAACTACTATAGGCCCTTAGAAGGTAAATCACAAATTGCAAGTAGTGCATCAAAAGGGTAAGCCGAAAGTCCAGAATCGAAACCATCCCATCCCTCAAAACAAGATGCGCTGAGCTGGAACTTCAGCGGCTGGCTGATGGTGATGCCATCACCATTGCACACCGCGACCAGCGCCATCCCCGGCCGTGCTCCCAGGCCGTGCAAAAGCTGAGCCGGTCAGTCTTGCAGAATTTGAAAGTGGTGGGCACAAGACTTGCCACGTCTCAAGTGCACATGTGCAAAAACAACATCTATACAGCATACATGAACCCCACAAGCACCTCTCAATGCAGCGTTGCGGAGGAGTCCCATTGCTCCGGATCCGCGAAAAGCATCGGTCCGAAGATTCAGTTCAATCGATTCACCATTCATGTACATGTGCAAGTATGTGGTCTAGATATGTCTAGATATATCTAGCAATCAGCCATGCATGCCACTAGTTTCAGACATGTTTGGTGGCTTCCTGCGATCAAAAGATGCGATCTGGGATGGTCTGGGCCTGAAACTGCCTCAGCACGCGCCTGGGACCCCAGGGCCTCTCTGAGGCAAAAGTACCCCCCAGGACCTCTCTGAGCAACAATCATTCCAGATACACTCTGAGAAGTGTTCTGGAGCCCTAGGGATATATATATGGCATAATGGCATACATGGAGTGTCTGGGTATGGCCACATGGATGGCATGGCCACGGGACTCACGGCGTGGAACTTCAAAGCGTCTTTCCGCTCCCGGTCCCGGGATCCGTTTGGGTCGTACCGCACCGGAGTGGGGTGATGTGTTCGCTGTGAGATGAGACGGTGCCCAGGCACGTCGGGTCCGTTGACGTACCGAGCCTCAGCACCGAACCTCATGTCTCAGTGGAGACAACACATCACCAGCCACCTGAGGTACGCTACGACAACGGATCCCTATAGGGGCTCTCTAAACTCATGAGATCGGTGCCGTCCCCGCAGGTGGTCGGTCGAAACCAAACAAACACGCAGGAAGCGACGAGTCTTACAGAACTGACTCGCTGAAAGCGATTCCCACGACGCGCCCCACGAAGTTGAATCCTGAAGAACCGAGCCTGTTTTATATAGTATATATATATAGATCGAATTAGGATTATTATACACTAATATACACTACAAAAACCAGGTCGCACCATGATTTGACTCGAAGGGTTCAAGAAGACGCCGTCCAACCCGCGTTTTTCGCAGGGTACCCTGGCGCACTCTCCTCTCCTCTCGGAAGACTGACTCCGCCAACGAAAGCTCCCCAGTTTGGTGCCGTGCCACGAAGCTCTGGCGCCCACCATGCGCGAGGCGACGCGGGCCCCGGAGCGTTGCCCCAGCAGCTCCTTTTGGGCGCTCCGTTCGGTGGGTTTGGTGTCCGGGTGAAACACTCAGCGAAAAGGAACAGGGGCGTTCTGGAATAGGAGACGAATGGAGACGAGACCAGGAAGAATACGAGGCTCCTGGTTAAAGAGACATGATCATCATGATGTCTACTCTGTTTTCGGCCGTTTCCAGAAGCCGAGCGACACGGACCGAGCGATACGGGAACACCCACCCAGCGACAAAGCTCGAGGCGAACAGCCGTTTGGATCTGGCTTGGTAGTGCAAACTTAGTAAAACATTGTTCGGTATGACCCGGGCTATTGATAAATGGTGGGCCACGATCTTGTAGGCCGGCACTTCATGGTATGAACCTTCGACTTGCATGGCGTGGGCCAGCCAGCGCTGGAATTTGAATGCAAGGCTGAAAACAAAGCTCCTAGTAGTAATGCCCTTAGCTACTAGTAGCTTCTTGCTACTAGTAGCCATGCACCTTGGTACCAGTAGCTTCTTGTTACTAGTAGTAATGCCCTTGTTACTAATTAATAGCGATGACAGCGATGCACCTAAGAACGCACTTGGCACATGCATCTCTTACACAGTTACTGTACATGTCTTTCCTGCCAGGTGTCCTGGGGCTGCGGGGGGTTCAAGAACACACCAAAACGGCCAACCTTTCGAATTCTATATCTGATTCGCCCCTTTTTGACCCGTTTCTTTTGACCAAGAGTCCACGGACACCAGAGATATGGCTGCCGTCAGTGCATTCAAGTCCTCAATCGGCATGTCTGCGATGGGCGGCGATGGGCGTGAACATGCAGCCTTATATAAGTCATTTCCATGGCACTGCAATACACACATTTACATTCATTTACAGTACCAGGGGTCACAAGACGGGTGGGTTTTTAGTCCCATCCAGTGAGTGGAGTAGCTGGGCACTCCTATCCTCCAAGTTCGGCACCCCGTCTTGTGACTCCCGGTATATATACCCTAGGAGTCAAAGACTATAAAAAGAATGGTCTTTAAGGGACCTGAAAGGGAACTTCCTTTACTTCAGCCGGTCAAAATATAGTCTTTGGACTTCTAGGGTATAGACTCACCACAGGTCGTGACATCACGAAAAAGCGCACGTGACGCCATGTCAAGCCGCATGGCCTGGACCCTTAGCGTATACCTTTCGTCATTTGCTCCAGGTATCTCACCAGTTTGGCTTGGAACGGACCCATGTTCAAAACCTAGACACTCCATCCCGCTAGAAATAGACCATCAGCTATGACCAAGCTCCAGTTGGAATGTGCCCGTCTACGGAGCCCACTCGAAACTAGGATGCCCGGGACGCTGAGCGCGCGCGCCCAGCCGGACGGGATGGTTCCGCGGGTTCCGCGCGGTCTCCGGTCTCCGAGCGTCGTAGACGTTCATCGTCTTCAGACGATCTGAGAAATCCGATGCCTCGATCTCCAGGAGCTCTTCACATCGACTCCTAGGTCTCCGAGCGGAGCGGAGTGGGGACGAGGAAGAAAGAACCGCCCGGACGCGAGCGTCTGGAGCCTCATATGCAGGGGTCTGGACCCGGTTCCCAAACCCTATGGTTTTGAGGGACCCGTCGGGCTGTTTGGAGCGTCTGGGCGCGGCTGATAAAGAGCAGCGGTGATATTTGGATGGAAAGTCACCTAGTGAGGGGGGGGGGTCTGCAAACCACCCTTGAAGTGGTGCTGCATATATAACTTCTATATACTATTTCTACTCCCTGAGAATGGACATGGATGGCAGGGCCCCGATTTCGAATGACCCTGAAATCCGAATACCAAACAGTGAACTCCAACCATCCTGATTATTTCAGAGAGCGCAGGCAATGTGATAAGTTACTATTCTGTGGGGTCATCTAACTGGTGCACTCAAGGCGGGTGTGGAGCTTTTGGGAAGAGGTGGAGGGTTCGACTCCTCGTGATTTTGAGTGAAGAGCTCTCTCCCAACGATATGGCCTCCAACGTAGCGATGGCCTCCAACCTAATAGCGATGGCCTCCAACATCCTCCAACCTAGGGACATTTTGCAAATGGGCTGGACGATCTTGTTGCACACGACATGCATGTCAAGCTCTTCTACGACCAAATGGGCACAAGAGGTACTTCATAGGAATTCTGCAAATGGTCCAAGCTGCTTCCCAAACTGCAGGGTTTGGTGGAACACTGACGACCAAACTGGTGGAACATTGAGGCTGCCTATTGCTGACCCATACCAAGTGCGAGGTCTGTCTTTTCCCCCTAATGTTCCTTGTCCAAACACATTTACTGCAAGGGTGTGGATATAAACAGGGAAACCTCCCAGTTCCACCGCCTGGAAGAAGGAAACTGGACTAGAACAAGATCCAAATTTTGCCAGGTGGTCTCCCTACTTTAATTACCCACACAAATGCTCCACGGTCTCCCAAACGTCCCTCGATCAAGTTCAAGGAACAAAGTCCATCAGGTGTGCTGGGACCTGGGCCCAACTTTTGCACACGGTAGCCCAGCTTCTCCTGGAACGAGGCCGAAGCGATGCGGGGAGAAGGCCGCCCGCTCTTGTAGTGGAGGTGGAGGTAGGGGAGAAATGGAGAAGCCCTGGAACACACCAGAGCCGTGTTCCTTGACTCTTCAACTCTTCACAATCCTTTTGAAACATCCACCACTGCCAGCGATCTTAACAGCCTCTGAGGTCCGCAGAACCGGACCTCTTTTTTTCCACAGACCATCCATGGGACTGAAGAAACTCTTATATAAATATATATATATATATATACATTGACCCCAGGTCAACCACCCCCAATGTGGGTAAATATGCCAGTCCCATGGACGTCTGGGACATGTAGCACCGTAGCACCTCTTGGCCTTTCATCCCAACACCGGGCCCTGCAGAAACCCGCAGACCTCACGCCTGCGGCGTCTGCGGGGGTCGAACCGCAACCTGCGTGACTGCGGCCGTCTGCGGCCGCCGGTGCCTGAATCAAGATCTCCACCACTTCAGCCATGACATAGCCGGCATTCCACGCATTGATCCACAGGCCGATGGGGTATGCCTCCTCGCCGTTCACCAGCTCCTTGCGCCTCGGAAAGGACACCAAAAGAGCCCAGTCGTCAAACCCGTTGCCATTGTGAAGGGTATGCATGTATTGCGACTTGTTGAGCTGCTGAATGGACTTGAGGAGCCTATTAGATGCCTCAATAGGGACCCATGGACCCTCAAGAGTGTGCCCCTGGCATGGTCTAAAGCAAAACAGCAAAACATCCGCGCCCAAAGCCTGCCCCAAAAGCCCGCCGTTGTAGACTGGCTGCCTAAACCTTTAGCACTAAGTTGGAGGCCACCGCTAGTACATGTGACATGAGGGCAAGTCTTGCTGCTTCATGCACATGGCTGTAAGTCAAAACGCGGAGCCCTGTGCACCATCCTAGGTTAACCTTGTCAGTGTGCATTTTCCAGCTTCAAGAGGGTTGCCTGGTGCTGACCGGGGAAAATGGAGAACTGTCCAGAAAGTCCTCTCATCCTGATTCGAACCAACCCCAGTTGAAGCATGAGACGTACTTCATCTGTGCTGAAGTTTTCTGTTCCATCTGAAATGGAACCTTGTCAGACCTGGAGGCCAACATGACAAATGAAATTGATTTCTCAGACCTCGTTGGCACGGACTGCGGAAACTTTAGTTTACCCCTCTCACCATAGGTGTTGGAGAACTTGAGGATCACCACAGCCAAGTCGCACAAGAACGGTGTTTGCTCACCGACGGTACAACAAAGGGTACAACCGTTCAACATTGACCCCTTACACATTGACCAAGTTGTAAGTTGATGGTGCGTGACAAACAACAACAGGCAACCTGTACTCTCTCAAACAGGACTGTGTCAAAGGCATGAAGCAATCTCATATGTAGGTCACCTCAGGGTGGGTGCCAGTATAGTAGCCAGTAGTAGCTGAAGAAAGTCTCCCAGCACGGTGACCCACACTGCCTGCGACGAGCAGCAGCTTACACGCACGTTGCTTTTTCCACGGCTCTTGGTGGAACAGGGGCGAGTACGGATCACTGTACAGGCCTTTTCGCCCCGGTGCGCTGGAACATGACCTCCATGTTGGTGTCTTACATAGTTAATGTAGGCATATATCATAGATGGACCGTCTGGGATAGATGGAGGTAAGTCTTGATGATTTTTTGGTGTACAAGAAGGAATGTCAGGATCGGCAATGCGAACGCCTACTGTCTGAAGGTTGAATCCCGCAGCAAGAGGTCCCAATCCGAAGACTTCACATAATCTGACAGGAACAACGCTTCCCATCTGCGTCTTCTCGGCCATGGGTTGTCTCTCTCACGGGGCTGTAGGGGCTGCCATAGAGCTCCAAATATCGACTTAGGCAGCTGGAGAAGACATCATCAACAGCAGCGGGTGTCCTGCATGACATCAAGTGGTATGTGCAATTCAGCGCTTCTGCCAGTCTTGCAACCTCGTCTTCTGTCACCTGACATCCACCGCATGTCATAAGCACTAAAACAAGTTCCCCATCCATGTCCACCTTCCATCTCCTTCCGTCTACTTAAACCATGGACAAAAAAACACACCCAACAGAAATGCGTCTTCAATCAAAGCGGTTATATAGTAATATATTAGTTATAGTGAACACTCTACTTTATAAGTATCCAGTTCCAGGCACCTCAAGATCATCCAAATCTCCGTGTGTGCCCACCAAGCATCGCACCACTCTTGTGTCGTACTTTCCTTCCGCCATTCGAAGCAAATACTCGGCCTCACGTAGGCTTTCTCGTCTTTGCTGGCTGAAGACAAACATCACGATGTGTGCACCTCTGGGTGAAGAGTTGAGGTTTTCACTCTGCAATGGGTTTCTGCAAACTGCTCTTTGCAAACTGGACTGTAGGCTATGACAGCGATGTGTTACAACGTGTAATAGTTCATGCAAAGACTACAGCATCCCCACTCTTGATGTTTCACCCAAGCAAGACTGTCTTCCAAGTAGTAGTGGCCCTTGCCTCGCAAGCAGCTTGTGATGAGTGAATGAAAGCGCTCATGGCCCTGCGTGTCCCATACTTTCACTCTCGCCCGAGTGGCGCCCGCAGTCAACATGGTTGAGCTCGCAAAGTCGACGCCAATGGTACAATTGTAGTTGCCCACGAATTCTCCAGAGGAAAAGGTTGAAGAAAGAGCCGTTTTGCCTGCCATCATTCCTCCTAGAAGGAGTACCTTGACCTCAGGCTCAGGTGGTTGCTGGACCAAGTAGAAGACATCCTGAGCATTTAGCTTCAGTGATCCCAATGTAGTTGCTGATGACAGCTTTTGGCTCCCAAGGACTAAGGAGAGACGAAGCCAGGGGGCAAAATCCCCAGCTTGGGCAATCTTCATGAGGAGCTCTTCCACACTGGTGCCAGGCAGTAGCGAAGCTTCATAGGCCACTTGGCCCGAAGGCAGCAGGACATGGACAGGCACAGCTTCATCCATCAAGAAGGTGGTTTAAAACGAATAACAACAGGCTCTGGTCATCTTTAGTATGCATTTGGACAGTACCCTGCTTTCAATCATGTTTGAACCATGGCTTTTCCGCTTTGAATTATGTAGCAAGTGGCTGATATTGGCTGCGTTGTCCAAGACAACCTAACTCACATGTTTGACGACCTTTCTTTTAGCATCTTTTAGCAACCATTCTAATTCTAATTAGTTCAGGCTTCAAAAAGACTGATCAACCTTTTTCATCTTTCATGCTCTTGCACAGCTACATAAAGTTTATTTATTTTTTTAGAAAACGCTGAGATGGAAAAGCAACAGGTTTGGACACAAGGTCAAAGTGGAAGCATCGAGCAACAGCTGGGTCCTCTGAAAAGTGACCTGTAGAGTATCATGTATGTACCATTTAAAAATTATGGAGCTCATACAGTAGCTTGTCTTTTGAGAAGCAACCCCGTGTCACAGAAGTGTCAATACCGCTTGCGAATTTGGACCCTCCCATACCGTCCCTGTTGACTGTTACATCCTGGTTTCTCTCTTCCGAGCGGCAACGTTTCAGGAATGCCGTCCTGGAAGCACTGCCCCGTCCCGTTCGTGGCAGCGCCAATGCGGCCAACGGTGCCAAATGCGGCAAACGCCGCCAGTGCCAGTGATGCGGACCACATGGCAAACATGCGCCGGTGGTGGTGGCCTCTGGTTAGGTCTGCTATCTGGTTAGGTCTGCTATTTTGGTTAGGTCTTGGATCTATATATGGATCTAGTCGGTCGGGTCTAATTTCTCGAAGAAGATTAATTGAGGATTCAAGATGCTTCAAGTACTGCTTCCAAGTTCTTGAAATCTGTCGGCAGGCGAACGTGAGATGACTAGGATTCGGCGATGTCGGCAACTCACATCCAATCCAATCCGAGATATCGCCGACAGCTGAAAGCTTTCTTGGCATCAATGCAGGTAAATGATGATGATGATGATGATGATGATAATACTGATAACTGATAACTGATAACTGATGATGATAACTGATGATAACTGATGATGATGATGATGATGATGATGATGATGATGATGATGATGATGATGATGATAACTGATAACTGATAACTAATAACTGATGATGATAACTGATGATAACTGATGATGATGATGATGATGATAACTGAAAACCCTGCTGGAAATCCACGGGAAGAAGAACTCCAAGCTCCTCTGGCTAAACGCGTCAAACGATTTGCAGTGCTCGGTCCGTCGTCCTCATCTGCTGCAGGAAGATCAAGGCTTGTTCAAGGTTTCAATCGTAATGTGAACACTTGGAACTGCAACTCCCTAGGCCTCCAAGCACCTTCTGAGAAGGTGGGACTGGGGTGAGTGACAAGAGGCTCCAAATACCTTCGGAGGTACGACTGGAGGTGTAGGGACTAGCTTTGCAGCATCTTCCCCAGCCTTCGAAGAGTGGTGCTCGGATGGGTTTCAAGATCCATCCACCGACCGGGCCCCTCTTCCAGGCCACTGGAGGGTGCGTGCTTTTTCAGACCCAGACGCGACCCTGGACCCTGCTAAGTAGGGGCCCGGACCCTCCAATTTGTATGGTTTTGAGGGACCAGTCGGGCTGTTTGGAGCGTCTGGGGACAACGATTCTTTCGTCCATGTGTTCAAAAACTTCTGCCAACCCAGCGACTCCTTCAACTCAAACTGACCACTTCGGTGACGTCTCCCGGCCGTCTCCCGGTCCGTCACGTCGCACAAACCTTCGAGCTTCGCCTTCTTCCACCTTCTCCCGGGAGCAGATCCCCATCTGAAAGTTCCCACAATTGGTCCCTACAAGTGTCTGACCCAGGTCTATACCTGGTCTTTTCCCTCCTTAAGTATCCTTAAGTATTGGTTTTGTATGACCATCCTCCAGTAAAATGCGGTCCAACTGACTTGTAGGGTGTTGGTTCTTCGCCTTCCATCTGTCCATCTCCAGTCCGGACCTTTTACCTTCCGACCTTCGAAGAGAGCGAATCGTCAACTGGACTTCCAGTACATCCCGTCGCATGTCGCTGCGACTCGGATGTCGCTCGCAGTTCTGAAACAACGAGCTGCGGTGTGACTGCGGTGGGTGCGATGGGTCAAAGATGGTCAAAGCTTCAGTTCTTCGGTTGGTGAGTGGACCATTTCACACATTTCACACTGATTTCTTGCCTGGCCTAGACCAGGTTTCAAGCCCAGGTTTCAAGACACTTCACCCTGGTTTTATAGTGTAAAATTCTTAGCAAACCCGGATTGCTCTGTTATATTAACTTAAAACAATGTAAATCAATGGAGTCCTTTCATGAATCCTGGTGTTGATTTCTACAGTTCCAGAGCTGTTCTTCCGACCTGCTCAACGGCTTTATATCCAAAACACGATCCGTTGAAATGGCCGATGGGCCCATCAGTTGCCCGTTTGGCCTCCAGTCGTACCGAACCGTTTCGTTTCGCTGGGACTGGGCTGGGTGACAGTGTCGGGTCCAGTACCGAACCTGAGGAGGTACGACTGGAGGTGTAGGGTCCAGCCATATTCTCAAATTCCATCAACTTCCCATCTGAGAAATTCGGAGGAGGCCAAAGGTTTCTACGCAGACTTGCCATTCAAATGTGTCCCATTGCTGAAGATTCGTCATGTCCTTCGTCCTTCGAAGGAGTCATGTGAGCGACCTGTCAAATCCGACCTGTCCAGTAAGTCCAGATTGGATCCACATGGAATAAAACACTGAGCCGGACATCCCCAAAAAAGAGAAGCTGAAAGCCTTTGTCCGCCAGTGTTTGTTTAGTGGCGAGTCAAAGACCTCATTATTTTACTGGAGATGGTCATACACAACCAATACTTAAGGAGGTCAAAGACCAGGTCAGGTATAGACCTGGGTCAGGCTGGACTTGTAGGATTACAAAAATGCTTTTCCCTGCAGATCCACGGACGTCCTGGGGTCGTCCCACTGAAACCACCGAGCCGATCGATTCGAACGTTGGAATGCATTCCGAGCCTTTGGAAAGCGGAATTCGACGCATTCCGAGCCTTTGCGATCGATGCGAAGTGAGAAGAACACGGCCATGCATGTGATTTTCAATTCATGAAACATATGGTGAATGACCTTATAGTTGATTTGTTTGATCCGGGATCGGTGTCTTCGGTTGCACGCGAGTCTGGCATGTGATCCGCCCAAACGGAGCTTGCTGGGTTTGAAGGATCAGCCTTCCACAGCGCCAGAGTTTACGATCAGACAGATGATGCGGCTGACTTTCTCAGAAAGCTGAGGTAAACTGAAGATGTTTGCAAACAAATGCAATGATATGCAATGAATTGCAATGATGCTATTGGTTGGCATGTGCTTGCTACTTCTGACGTGTCACAACAAACCCACACTTCAACCACTTCAACTACTTCAGACGCCATCGGACAGCAGGTGCCACTCCGTCTCAGGACGCGCCTTAACGACCGTCACGTCCGTCGCCCACGTCAGTCGCCCACGTCCGTCGCCCCGCGTCCGTCGCCGCGTCTGTCGCGTTCTCCTCCAAGGCTTCGGGGGTCACTAGGCCTTCGCTGCGCGCGAGGCCCTGCTCCTCGGCGAAGGCCATGGCACCTGTGGTCGGCGTCGATGCCCTGAGGTGGGTGGGAGAGAGTTCGAGCGGAGGGTTCGAGCGGTGGGATCCGCCGTTGAAATGGAATCGCAATGAAATGAAACACACAGTCTAGAATAGAGAAGGCCCTCACCAGGGTTTTAGAGCTTGTTTTGGAGGGACTTGAAGACCGCGAGTTCGAAGCAGAAGTACTGGAGGTGTTCCAGGATGTGGAGCTGCTTTTCTTTGCACCTTGGTCGGATTGAACATGGAAAGGTACGGAAAACTGTCGAAAAGGAAGCATATATAATAGCACTGGACAGGTACCCCCACATGCAGTTGCTCGTCAAAAAGGGCACACAAGCAAAGGAGGAAGGCCCTGCTGTCTGGGGTCCAGCCTGATTTATATAAAATGTAAGAAACGCAATACGAGTAGAAAACAGGAAGGACCTCAGCTACCCATCTTGCCCCGCTACTCAAGCCCTTTTTGACCCGCCCAATGCCCACATGGTCCACCCACCTGGCCCGGCCAACATCACGTGATCTGTGTGCTCCAAGACCATGCGTGCCAAGGAGATGGGATGTTGCAACGACACACCTGAAGCTCCGAGAGCAAGGCAGCTTCCAATTCGGAAGTTCCGAAGTCCGGTAGGGGCCAAACACATAGCTATAGGTATGCTATAGTAGTCTCTTCAAATGCGCACAAAAGAACCAAAGCTAAAGTATACACTAAGACATCTTCCGGTCTTTGTTTGGTACAATTAGCCCAGTGGATCTGACATAGACCGACCGGAACAGGCCCCTGGCTCAGAGAAAAGCTCGTGGCTGTCAACTGACCTCTACTGATTTACGGCAGGTCAAGACACCAAACACGAACTCCATTGTTCGACCCGTCCATCAGCGTCCACTCCCTCCATTGACCCCTCTGGCACCACCACCCCCTGGCTTGATCAGGCCGTCTGGCAGTCCCAGCCGTGTCGTGGTTAGCCGAAGAAAGGGCTCGGGACGTGGGACCGGACACTCGGCCTGCAACAGCTCCAGCTCGAAGTGATGGGCCCTCCATGATTAAGGCATCCAATTCAGGAACTCCTTCAGCATTGAGAGAACAGCCTGTGTGCGGTCTGACCCATAACCGCGAGGGTGTGGGCGTCATACGACGCGGCTTCGAAGTGAAAGCTCATGCGTTGAAGGGAAGGCAGTGGAGCAAAATAAGCTCATTGTAATAATACAGTGCATCTATAGGGCCCCATGTAGGCCAATGACCCCAGAATGTTCGGAGTGGGATTTTCGAAGTGGAAGGATCCGATCCCAGAAAGGTTTGCTCAAAAAGAGATGGTTTCTGGAGAATCTGGGGATGCTCTGGTGAACATGTGGGTCACTATACCAGGGGTCACATGGAGTTGGGTGGTGTGGCTCGTCCCATCCAGGGGCCGTGGATGTGACAACGGGGCACCTGGCACCTCCTTCCTCCGTTCGTTCGGCACCCCGCAACCGAAAGTGACTCCATGTGACTCCTGGTACCTGGTAATGGCACCTATTCGACCTTGCCAAACCCAAACACGACGACTGGGACCTGCCATTATATATATACCTGGAACCTGAATGACCCCTGTTTTGATAGGAAAAGGCCATATTTTGGGTGGTTGGTGGTCCAAAATAGAGGTCATTCAGGTTCTAGGTATATATATACCGATCAATTGACCCCTCTGGCACCACCCCGGGAGTCCGTGCCACTCGGTGGACCGGAGCGACCAACACCGGGGGAACCCGGTGCATCTCCCGGGAGGGAAGAAGTCGTGAACCGGAAATGCATCAGGAATCCCCTTTCATCCATGGTGTTATCCATGTGTGTGTTTTCATTTCTAAACCTGATCCGTTCATCCCAAAACTCGCACCAAAATAACACACCCCTCCCCCCCGAAAGAACAGGAGAAACCTCCTCTCGCTCCAAGCAACCCTAAACCCCCCAAAAAAGTGACGCCTCGTCCGGCATTTAAGGAAGGATCATCTTCTAAGAGTCGCACCTGAGATGGTCAGACCGCAGCGATGACAGGATGAGCCGTTACGAGAGGCGGAGATAGGGTTACTGGCGATGTTTCAGGC